CGCTCCCCTAGGGCCCTATCGGCCCCAGCGACGCCACGGGCCCAGCCTCAGCCAGCGGCGGCCCTCGCACTTCTGGGCGCGGCGGCGGAAGTGGGCTCGAGCCCGCCCCTGCGGGCGGGGCCGCCCTCCCGCCTCGTACAGCCAAGTCCCGCCCCGTGGCGGAGAGCGGCCGTGCCTTAAAGGGCCAGTAACGAGGGGAGAGATGACAGCGATAGGGAAACTGAGGCACGCAGGGAGGTGGGGGAAAAGGGGAGTTGCACAGTAGCGTAAGCGGTGTGAGAGCCCCAGGGAGCACAGCTAAGGGCACTGCCTCATGGACAGAATTACTTAAGTACTGAAATGGTAAAATCCCACCCCAAAACCATGATCAAGTCAAGCACAGGGCATCCCCCAGTGGCCTGAAATAATGCGATGGAAACCACTCCCACATCAGCTGGCCAGTGCCTATGCCTCTTCTTGCACACTCCAAATAGGTAGGAGATTTTGTCACTGCAGGTCTCAGTAATGAAGCCATCATCTACTGATCATCCAGGTCACAGGGATGACGCTGTCCTCCAGGCTAGGGAGCTCTGAGGAGTCCAACAGGCACTTTTTGCCTTTTTTCAATCCCCTCACATCGCTTGTTCAGGACTTTAGGAGCAAGTGAGGTGAAAAAGGCAAAGTCACCCTTTGATCTTCAGCTGCTGCCACTGTAACATTCCTCAACTTTGAAGTGCTTCTCTGCTGCAAATGCAACTCTTGTAACCCAGCTGTCTCTGGCTTTGATAATGCCACACAGCCGAGAATATTTCCTATAACACCATTCAGGCCATTAACGCACCAGGGAAAACGCTTGAAACGACACAGACAGATCTGCTGAAATCACCAAAGTTTTTAGGGGATGCACAGGGCTTTTTAGACGTGAAGGATCTGTCATGCTCTTATTTATAATGCAGCCTGACACACAAAGCTTTGTCAATGTTATTTCTCTCATCATTCTGTGGAGCCCGTGTGTTTTGGTTTTTTTTTTTAAACCTCTACACAGAGTTTGCTCAGTTTTCAATAATACCCACATGAAACAACTGCTTCCCCTTCCTGTGCTCCCATGCGTCACTGTAAGATGGTAGCAAAGGGAAAAGCTGCTTTCTTATGTCCTCTGAAGTGCCATTATTCAGCAAATGGGAAACGATCAACAAATACTCTCCTCCTCCAATCATTTGTCCATGTGCAAAGATATTACAAACACCAAGTTACCACAGGAGATGTAGGTAAGGAATTGTTTCCCAGGGCTGGGGATGGACAGTGTCTCCCTTTTTTCCCCATGCAGCAGAGTTCCTACCCTGGCTCGCTCACTTGTTAAAAACAGTTCTTCTGCAAAACATATCAGCACAAGCCCTCCTTCAGAAGTTTTCCTTTAATGCAAAGGATAGAATAAGACGCAGAAGTTTATTGCTGTGAGATCTAATCTACAAACTCTATGAGTCATTGTTTGTGTTCTAGTCTGCAGAAAATTCAGAGCATCTCCATCCTCCAGGGAAAAAAAAAACCTGAAAAACACAAACTGCTTAGATTTGTAAGTTCAAGTTCTTCTACTTTAACCTTCAAACCCATAAGGCAGCAGAAGCAAATCAAACACCTCGGTGCAAGGCAGCTGGCACCTGTCCCTGAGTCGCCCCATTACATCTCCTGGCTGGAAAACTTACCCGTATCTGATGGGGTGTCCTGCCTGTTCCACAAAATCATACTGTTTTCTATCTTCAGAGAGACCAAAGTCAGACTACTGTTAAATATGGAAAATCCTCATTTACCATCCTTTGCCATAACTCAGAAACCAGAAGAACCTCCAAAAAGGCCTTTATTTCAAGCCGTTGAAAGTTCTGCATTTTCTATGACAATTATTAAAATTAAACAAGGCAAGTATCACTTATCAAAATGACAATAAAAACCCCAGTATCTCAGAGACCACCTCTTGCATTACTTTCTAATACAGCATACAGCAAATATAAACAAGCCAAACAACTACCCCCTCACACAGAGTAAGATTTTTTTTTTCTTTACATTCATTCGGTTGATTTACAAATAATCACTCCAGGCAGATAGTTTAAAATATCATACAGCAACATGAGTAAAACCTCCATCTTATCCCTCAACTTCCTCATCAAAATGTAGAAATTCTCCTTGGCACAATAAAAATATATATATATATGTATATATACATATATAGACACTGTCCATTTTGTCTCTGTATTCCAGACATTAATGAAAACATTTTAAATGCATTGTTCTGGTTAGTATGAAATGACATTACAATTTATGAATAGTGACAGACAAATACTTCTTTTCTCTAGAAGGGGTAATAAGCATATGAGTCTGTATCTCAAACAAAATTCAGGTGCTTTTTAAAAATCCATTTAAAAAATTTATTAAAAATAAACACACAAACAAGTCAAAGCTGTGCTGTTTCCACCAAACACAGATGTCTTAAGATTTGTTTACTACAGAGATTTAAAGGAAATTGAAATCCTTTTCCCAATTCCATTTTTTAAAGTGATTTAAAATCTGTTAAATTTCTGAAAACCAACTTCACGCACAAAGGGTAAACAGCTGCTTTCAACTCCTCTGAAAACAAAGCAATGGAAAATATACTGGGTTTGAGACATTTGGACAACAACATGGATGCTTAAGACTTCTAAAACCAGAGATAAATTACGGTAACAAAAGGTGGCACAGTAACTGTATTTACCTCAGTCTTCAGAATGAAATAAGAAAATTTAATGTGCGTGTCTTTACTTTTTCCATTATTAGAGAGCCTGTGTACCTGCAGTTGTTGATCTGCGCCCACTTTCAACCTGATGCATTTTGCAGTTAAAAGTGCAGACTAGGAACTGCTTTGAGGGCAGTCAATCACTGTCTTCACTGGAGTAAAAAATGTCACTGAATCGGAAAGTCTTTTTCTGATGCCCGGCTGTTGATTTTTTCAAACTAAGGTGTTTCTCCTCCCTTTTTGCTAACTTTTCTTCAAATTCTGGAAGTTTCTCTTCATAAAGATAATCAATAATTTCTTTGGAAAAAAAAAAAGGAAGAGAAAAAAGGTAGTCTTAATTTGATTTGTAGGGTAACTGGAAAAAGGATCTCACAGACAGAAATTATTTTGTCGGTGTTAAATGCAAAAAACCTAACTATTCCACAGTAATCACAGTGGCTGCAGGGTAGATCAGACACATACATGCACACCAAGATAATCTAAAAAAAAAAAAATCAGTCATAAAACACTGAAAGACAAAGTATTAAAAAGAAGAGGTTCATGAGCACTGCATGAAAATGACACTGAAATGAAACTGTTGTTAAAATAAAACAAACACCAAAACAAAACCAAACATTTAGTAAAATCATTATGAAGCCTGAGATTTTAGTCAATTTACTCAGTGAAAATTTAACTAACAAACAAGTTAACTAAAACACCTACCCTCTCAGACACAAGCAAAAACCTAAAGGACTAAACACAAACAGCTGGGATACTGACCAGAAAAAGTCTTTTTTTGCCAAAAAGGGACACAGGAGACTTTTAGCTTATAAAACTTTGCTTGAACATAGGCCCTAGGGACATCACTGAAAAGAGAAGAGTTCAAAGAATTAGTGGTGCAAGGAACTATGACAAAATCTAGTTGTTACTAGGTTAACCATTCATGAGAGTGATGCCAAACAACATCTTAGCTCTCAGCAAGTGAAACTGAAAACATGTGTAGAAGGAAGTGCTGCAGAGAAAATACAATTGAAAAGTTTGAAGAAGACTATTATGCTGTATTACACATTCCTATAATGATCCCTTTTTCCTACGTGTTGGTAACACCTGGAAGTCTTTTACCAGAGACTCTGGCACAGACTACATAACACAGCTCTAGTACACAGAATGTGCTGGGAATACAGTACGGGTTGCCTGAAGTGGTTAAATTAAGTTTCAGAGATTACAGGCATGGCTTATTGCTCATTACTATGCAAGGGTGTACAACGCTATGTTACTAAACCAGATTACATTTTCTAGAGTTGCAGAGGTCTAAGAAATTTGATTTCTTTGTGGAATTTTTAAGACTGCCTGCTTCAACTGTCCTTCATATCCATAAAAAGAGGAAGAAAGATTTACCCAATAGTATCACTGAGCTCTTCCCAGTTTACTTCATTGGCATCCTCCACTTTCATTTCATACAACCTGTGGATATAATATAGAAGCAGTTTGTAGGCAGAATTAAAGAAATAATTCAATAATGCTCACAGCTCCCCCAGACAGAAGTCACAGGACATTTTAGACAAAGAAAGAGTGGCTGTGACACCTATATGAAACTGCAGACATGCCATTCTCACCCTGCAAGCTTTTATAAACACAGCTCAGAATGGTAAGAGATACAAAAACATGCCAGTACCTCTGAACTGTACCTTTTAATAAGATTGATCTTGGCCTGTAATCCTTTGGTCCCCCTATATAATTGCTGCCCTTTGGTCATCTTGTTTGTTAAAATTGTAGTCCTTTGAAAACACAAAAATAAGGCTTCTATTGTTTCAAGACATTCCAAGCATCAAAAGGAAGTGCTTCAAGATGCTATTACTGCCACAGTGAAGCAGAAATTGGGCTCCACTATCACAGCAAGAAAAAAAAAACTTACCACAGCTAGCAAAGAGTTAGTGATTTGTCTTGGACACATTTGCAATATCTCTACTGTAGTCTAAAACTTATTTATAAACTGTCTTAGCAAACAATCACAGTACAAACAGTTTTGCAGAATGCAGTTAATAACCCACAGAATACATTTTACTATCTCTATTTAGTATAAAACCTTACCATTTCTGTTTACATTGTCTCCAGTATCGAGTTCCCACTTTAGCTTCAATCTCAGTCCATGGTAATTTCTGGTATAGTTTCTCACGGTCAATCAAGAGATCTCTATGTGACTTTTCCGATGACGAAAGAGAATTTGCATCCTCCATTTCTATTCTTTTCCTCATCACCTGCTCCACTGCATTTATTAACTTCTGGGTCTCTTCCTTTGACCAAGGACCATAATTAATAGCTAAAATTGAAAAATAAAGTTAGGGCGTAACTTATAACAAATAATTAAGGAAAAAAGGCAAAAGAGCAAATGCTTCACTTTGCATTATTCTTATTTACAGGACTCTTCTTAACACTTCCCAGAAACTATTCTGCACACCAGATTGGAGAGAGGAGTTCAGCCTAATCACTGAAGAATAGCACTGATCCTTAGTTTCTATCTTTTAAAACCTGGTTGCCAAATTCCTCCCACCCTCTCCCTGAAAGAGTCTATTTAGATGTCAGTTTAGATGTCTTTATTTTATAATAAGAGTTGCATTGTTCCACTTCTTTTTCCTTTTCTATCAGAGACTGTTCTTATCTCCTTCGTATGAAAATGCAATCAGCGATCTGAAAAAAGAGCCATCACCACAAATTAATTTTTTAAAAAATTCCTCTCCAAGGATTTTTTCCTAAAGTTTATGGCACATACAACATAAAGTTAAAATAACTTCTTAAACTGTAACACACAGAATGAATTGGTTTTTTATTAAAATTACATACCCGACTTGATTTCAGAGTATTTCATAGCAACTGAGAGGTTAGAACGAGACATCATCTCTGAAATCTTCTTCCAATCATTGCCGTGCAGAGCATGATACTTCTTTAATTTTTCTATTTCTTCCTTAGTATACCTAGTTGAAGAAATGGGCTGTTTCAGTTGTAAATTCAAACCATTCCAATATCTTGAGAGCTGTAATCTTCACAGGCATTTCAGTGTTACTCATCACTACCATTCCCAGTCACATTTTAGAACAGAAGAACTGATAAGGACTAGTCAGAAAGATGAAATGTCAATGAAGTCACAGTAACTGGCACAAATGGGAGAGATGGACTTCATTTATATCTATTTTTAATGCACAAATAAACATCTGAGACTGATATTAGCATTCAGAAACTCTTTTAAATTACTCACCTCCCTTTATAATTATTTGGGTCAAACATTTTCCTTGCTCGATAATATATCAGCCTCCAGGGTCGTGGTATGCCCTCAGCTAGAAGGTAAACAATTCATGTTGAAGAAACATTCCTCACAATGGTGAGGTCATTTTGAAAAAAACGAGCCAAAATGATACAAAACCAAAATCCAACCACTTACATTTTCATGACCATGTTGTCAACAATAGGTTTTCTCTGTTCAAGAGACCGTACTCTACAATACTTCAGTAACTGCACAGGACATAGTCTGAAGAGAAACTCCTGAGGAGTTTCAAAGCTGTAATTGTTATGACCATTATAAGACAGTGAACACTGACAGCTGTTAAATTGTGTGTGTGTGTGTACAGGTGTGGGCGAAAATGGAAAACTGAACTTTTAAACTATCAAGCACAAACCTGCAACTCACTAGCTACAAAGTGTATGGCCTGGCTGTAAGTTTGATCCAGATGTAATTAAAATTTAACTACTGAATACTCCCATTAATGAGGGACACAAGACAACCACCAAGCAGGAGGCTGATTAAAATTATGTAAGATATTAATTTAGTTTATTGTATTGTAAATACTTACAAAGTTTTTCACAGAAAAGATGTTCTGCTTTTAGGTGATGGATAGTTTCTTTATCTTCTGGATACCTCGAGGTAAACAGGAGTTTTTCAGCACTGTCTATACCAGTGATTGATAAGAACTCTTTAATATTTTTCCGGATTTGATCATTTTCTTTTTGGGAAAATCTGCCAAACTTGACAGGAATACCTAAAATATAAAGAAAGTTTTATTTAAAAACAAAAACAGCAACAAAAAAAAGCATCAAGTACCATTCCTTGTGCATTACATTTCAGGTTTTATCAAACATCTAACGTAAGATTAACAAATTCAGAAGGTAAAAAAAGAAAACTGAAGAAAGACAAAACAAGAGCAGATAATTTAGACACGTGCCTTGGGCCATAATTTGACAATAAAGAGGTAGATGCTACAAAGCAGAGAAACAGAAAATTATGTCCATTGGAATGAAGTGAGTCAGACTACATGGATGCAACAGACACAACATCAAACTATTTTCCCTAATCAAAAGATTAGCACAGCTGCACAGTCCTTCCTCACTGTGGCATTTTGAAAGCCCACCTTGTTTTTTAAACTGTTTAAACCTCATTAGATCTCTTCCAGCCATCTTCCTGATTGAATTGTCTGACATATTCCTCACATGAGGAATAAACTCTTCCAATTGCTGTCTTGCAGTATCCAAATCCAATGTTGAAAACATGCTAGAGTCCAGGCACTCCTCTTCATCATCTGGACTAAGCTCATCAGAGGCTACCATTTCAGTAAAGGAACTATTCTGGTCCTTTCTACTTGATGCTGAGGGTTCTGGTGTGCTGAAGAAAAAAAAAAGAGCAAATTAAAAGACACTACTAACTCATTAAGTTCATTCACTAATTCATTAACTCATCAAAGTATACTTTTTCATTAAAGAAAATGTCATTAAAAATACTACATTAAGAATTACTTCACGCATCTACTCCAACATTTCAACACAGATGTAACTTATCAAATTTCTATACTTCAAATATTCAAAAAGGGTTGCTTACATTTTGAAATCTGCACCTTTCCCACAAAACTCCCACACATGGACATAGAAAAGAAATAGTGACTCTTGCCACCACTGGCAACACAGAACTTTTCCATGTATTTCTTACTAGTGCTCTTATTGTGGGATCTACACACTGTAAAACCACCAAGAGTCACTTACACAAGCATTTTTTTTGCACAGAACATTTAAGTCTTTCAGTTGACCTTAGTGGTTGCTTGGCAAAAAGGCATATTTTCAACAAACACCAAATTTAACAAATGGAGACCCTTTCTTCTAATTTTTTTTATTAAGTATTAATTACTTGCGGGTAAATTATTTCTATACCTACAGTTTTTAAATAGGAGACGATATTCTATGTTGAAGGCAATAGTAGAGGATTTTTGCAAACTTTATTGCACTGATAACCAAGCTCTTCAAGGAGATCTCCATACCTCAACATACCATTACGGGTTTTGAAGTTGTTTTTAAAAATACATACAATACAGACTGAAGAAAAACCTGGGACCCAAGTAAGGTGACAGAAACATATCTGGAGGGGGTCAGACTTTAAAAAAAAAATCAAAACTTACACTTACATTACATCAGAGTTTGAAGAGTTTTCTTCCATAACAAAAGCACTGGGTTTTTTTACTTTTCTAGCACGTTTTTCTGGAGTTTTTCGAGGTCGATCCGCTCTTTTCGTCACCTTAGAAGAATGAGCAGCTGCAACTGTGGAATCTTCATTCATGGCAGAGGAAGCATCACAGTCATCATCTTCAAGCCAGTGCTGGGGTGATGCCACATCCTCTGCAGGTGACGGCAAGACGGCGTCTTCCTCTTGTCTGTCTTGCTCTGGAGATGACAACAGCAACTGGTCAACGCTTACATCTGCGTCTTCTTGCATGTCTTGGGTACTACTGGCTCTTTTCTTCTTTTTCTTCTTCTTCCTTTTCGATATTTCATTGTCATTTGTATCACATGTTTCTGAGATAGGCAGCTCAGGTACCTCATCCACTTCAGACAATTTTTTTCTTTTCCTCTTAGCAGATTGTTTTAAATAGATGTAATCACTCTTGATCTTCTGACAACTATCAGTGCTTTGCTGATTTACTGTGACACACACTGTATCATTCTGATCATCTATACTATCATTACGCTTCTGCTTCGTTTTTTTCTTTCGGGAGCCATCCACTCCAGTTCCATTGCTAATTTCATGTTCCTGTCCTACACGGGAATTACCAAACAAACGCTGTTGGTTCTGCTTCTTGGTTTGTTTTTTTTTCTTCCTTTTAGAGCTTTCACCACTCTGCACTGCTCGATCTTCAAACTGCAATGGAGAAGCACAGCTAAGCTCTGCATTTTGTCTTTCTCCTTCCTCATTTTCATGTTCCTTACTGTATTCTGTGTGTTTTCTCTTCTTTTTCTTCCTCTTCTTCAGAAAATCCCGAACTTGAAAATCATCTGCACTTGCTTCTTCTGTCATATTTTTTCTTACCTTACATAAAAGATACAAGTTTTACTCAAGTGCTATAATCTATGTAGCCTTACACACTATTACACAGTAACAAAAAACCCCAAAACATCAAAATACCATGGAACTACTCAGTATTATTTTAAAAACACATAATACTTACTTTTCAATTCAGCTAGTTTTTCAAAGTGACTATGCAAAAGCAACACCTTCTACATCAAACAGATGTGCATCACAGCTGTATTCAGCCTTAAAACTGCCTTCCTATAACAAAGATACACTTTAGTAACTATTAAGTCGGGTTTGAATAACAGCAGCAACAGACACCTACATTCAACTCTACGTTCAGCACTGAAACAGCAACAAGCTAAAAGTAATAAAGAAATATTGAACTAATCAGCACCAAAACATAATTAGAAGCCTCTGACTGGCTTTGCCTGTGTTCAAATGGGCCCACAAGTGGCCGAGACCTGCCAGCTCCAGTGGACATTGTAACCAGACAAATCTATTCCCGGTAACAGGGTTACACAAAGCAGGCAGGAAGTATTTGTTCGCACGTTTTCTACAGCCAGCATATAGAAAAAGCTTATAGAACACCACCTCGTTATCTCTGAAACACAAAGACCTTGAATTTCACAACTCCAAAACAATTTCCAGCACTGACTGCTGGACATTAACTCCTCACCGCCGCCGGGAGGCGGCTGCCCTGAAACCTCTGGGTAAAGC